AGGACACCATTCTGTACACTCCCTCATGCTAGTTCAATCTTCTATCTATTCTCGAGGCCTGTGAACCCACCAGTAGAGTCTGGAAAAAAGGTAATTTGATTTTTGTGGTAAATCAGTCTTGAGTGTTACAGCTCCCCGTCCATTAAAAATGAAGTCTTTCTATTAATTGAAGACAATTCTCCAGATGTTAATTTCTTCCTGCACTGATGTTTACTATTATAACTGTTACATCTCTTAATAGTTTCTTATAAGCTATTATATCTAACTATATATAACTAAACTTCTTCCTCCCTTCCCCCAGCATCTTTCATATTTTCACATTAATGTTTTCAAACTACCACCTTTCCCAAAGTATCTGCATCGGAGTAAACCACCAAAAGCACTAAGAACTGAGCTTTTAGCATTGAGGTAGGTATGGGCAAGCACTTCCATTTCTGGTGATCCAGGTGACATCTGACACCGAGGAAAGAACATTTCCTTTTCCTCTGCTTTTTGTGAACACGACAATATGACCAATCTCTACTTTTTCCATGGACTGCTATAAATATGAAATCATTGTCAACAGTGCATCCCCCCACAAAAGTGAACATCACAGGTAAATCAGGCTCTATTAATCAATTCTAGGAGAAAAAAAGAATGAAATTGTATCCTGTTATAAAAGACAAATTGACCATTGTCCTGTTTTTTATGATTCTGAGAAACAGCAACAGATGATAGCAAGCAAAATAAAATAATTTATAGCAGATAGAGGGAAAAATTCCTTCAGCTGATCTATAGCACAGCCTTTAACTTCTGAACTTTTAGAAAGAATTCGGGTCTGACCAGTTATAGTTTGAATGCACATATTGCGTGCAGTACTCGTTTTTCACTCAAAAAGTGTTTGTTGTTGTGTGGGTTTGGGTGGAGGGTTTTTTTGGGGGTGGTGGTGGGGTGGGGTGTTCGGTATCAAGTCACCACAATATTTAAATGCAAGATAAAAAAAAAAAAAAAGAGAGCTTGCTTCCTTAAGTTTTTTGAGATGTATTATCCATATGCACATCCTCATATCGAAGCGTATTTTTCCACATCTTCAGGTGTAAGGAAAGCATCCTGAGACTTGTCAAATTTTAAACTGAAGGTCTAAAATCTAGAGCAACACCTTTACGCTTTCTTTCAACCACAAAGTCCCTCATGTACAGGGCTCCAAGGCAGAGGACAGAGATCAGGACTGCAAAATATACATATGGATAACATCTCAAAGAAGTCCGGTTCAGCTACAGAGAAGTAATTTAGCAAATCCTCTTTTGAATTACTAATGCAACTATTCACATGCTTAGCGACTCTTCAGAACATCTGATTTACCTAGTGACGGAAGCAGAACTAGGAATTGTGGGACAGAGGCCCAAAGAAGACAACAGGTATAAACATTATAAACATCATCCTGTAAAATCGACATAGCTAAAGTGTACGCAAACTATATGCTATTAAGTAAGCAGTTCAAGTCTTCAATATTAACAAGTTTTACAGACTCATGGATTTTTCTACAGCATTCTAAGTTTGTTTATGCCAGAGCAAAAGTCCATCATAAAAACCTTCATTTACCTGAGCAACACAAGGAATAGGAGTGATTTCAAGGCTTATGCCTGAAATTACAGTTTGTAGGGTTCATTCACTGAAACAGTACTTTGAAATCCACTTGGATGAAAACAAAAAGCATATAAATATCAGGTAATTATCACATCATCTTTGACAAAATTAATCCAATCCAGCTTGTTACAGTTTTGTAGTTGGTGTGGACAAGTTTCACTTGACGTGCAGAACCATGTACTGCTAGGAGACCTTCAAGGAGGATGTACGAAAAATAATTACATAAAATCATGTTAAGGGAGTTCTATTAAAAAAAATAAAAATCAGACCCAGTCTGTCCAAACCAGAAGTTTTAGAAAATTTAAGTTTCTTACAATTGCTTGACAATATTAAACACTCACCAAAATACCTGTTTCACTTCCACATGTCAAGTACCAAGAGCAGTTACAAAGTCTGATTATTTGGGTGGTGTGCATAACTGCATCAAAAGTGTTTTGGAGAAAACAATTGCACTCTTAAGCCAAGTCATCTTACACCACTAAGAAAAGCCCAATGAAAGAAACTGAATAAAAATGTTTTATTTTGATATTAAACTTCCAAATTATAGTATCATAAAAAATTTATTTCTGCAAATGTCAGCTGCATTCTATTTTCAACCGTTGATGTGTTTATGTACAGGTACAAACTATGGCAACAACTACACTTATCATTCAAAACATCGATCACACTGCCGTATCTTGAACCTTCAGCTTCCCAATGTTTTTTCCGCCCTCTCAGAAAATACATTTTAAAACATCCAAAAAATATCCACACACTTGAGTCTAGTAGAAATTAAAGGGATTCTTTCACCATTAACATTCTGGTTAGAGTTTACTAATGCTTGAGAATAGTAGTAAGCTAACCTCTAATATGTATGTTAACATATTTGTTTTAAAAATATTTTTTAACAAGTATTTTTGCTGTTATTCTCATTGGAGGAAAATACAGAATTCTTGCAAATTCAGTACTATGTCCTTCCAGTATCTCAATATACACAGTATTTTTCTCCTTTTTTTAAAGCACTGTGGCTTCGTTAAAAAACTACATCAGATTAAGTATTACTTTTTTCAATTTTGTGTATTTCAAGTGTGGGCTGTCCTAGTCTAAATTTTCAATTAATTATGTTTTCTTTCTTCTGAGGACATATGATATGCTGTTTCCACCTTATGTTAAGAAGGAAAGAAGGAATTCTTCCTTTCGCACACACGCACCTGCCCCGCTCTTCTCCACCAACGGATTTGACTGGCATCTGCATAGACCTTTTATAATTAAAAAAAAAAAGATTTGCAGGATTGTACAGCAAATTTTGAAGAAATGAAAATAAAAACATTAATGACAAGTGTTTCTTTGTGCAACTGCCTTCATCCATTTTCAAAACTGAGCTTTCTTAGAGCTCAAAATGAAAACTTAATTCCACTAAGTAATACCAATTCTGCTACTGAATTTAACAGAACTAGTTTATCATAAAACAACAGCATGTGAGCTTGGACTTTCCATGGAGGAAAACACCATTACCTTCACCAGCTAATTGCTAAGAAATCGCTGCCTCCTCATGTTTTGCAGCTTTGGCATTTCTATGCAGAGCTCTTGAGCACACAAATTTTGTAACCTTTCTGCCTGTGTCTTATCAATCCGAACTCTTTCTCTGGTTATATGGCAAGAATTGCACTGAATCAAGGTCCTTCATAGCTGGATTTAGTGGAGGAGCATTTACCTCTAGATTATTCTGTCTAGTTTGACCCAGGCATTTTTCAACTTCAAAGAATGAAAACACAAAGAATTTTGCTTTCAGTACAGCCCAAGGCACAGCATTAAACAAACAAAAAAATCATCATCAAAGGTGCAGGTGATTCACTATGTTCGTAAAACTACCTTAACTTACTTAGGTATCGTAAGTTTGAGGTTTCCCAGTTAGTGTTCTTTCAAATTCACAAAACAGGAAGAATAAGGAACGTTACATTAATGGACGAGGCCCTCCAAACCTGACACATCCATCTATCACAGAATTCCGTATTACAATTCCAAAGCATGCCGGAGTTCTGCCATTGATGAATATATTCAAATAACTGTTACAGCACTTCCTTACTCCATCTGTGACAACAATTTCAAGAGTCTTCTGCTTCAAAATTCAAATGATTAAATACAAACTGATGCAAAAAAAAAAACCCCACAACACAGGAACTTTAATGCTACTCAGCCAAAATCATCACTGGTTTAACAGCTCTCTCTCATGCTACTACAATGGATAATACAATGTAACAGTTGGCAATGTCTAATTCTCATCTATCAAAATTGAGAGAATATTTGAGGTGTTTGAGTTCTCCCTCAATGTATCCCTAAAGCAACCTCCTGTTAGTGGAATGTAAAGACAGGTTGAATAAGACAGAATCTAACTCCATGATCGAAATTAGCAAAGGCACTTGATAAAATGTTCTTTACTATTTGCTGTTATTACGCTTATTATAACAGTGCCTAGAATTGCAGTTACACAAATGGGTTTTACTTATGAAAAGTTGCTCTTTGGAAACAGAAGGGATGTTTTCAGTGACAGTATACCTGCCTGGTCACTGCAGAAGGACGGACATGCATGCTCTGTGTCTTTAGACAAACATGTCCAGTTGTAGTTTTATAATTTTTTGTTAATATAACACTTGTAATACTACACTATCTTAACCGCTAAGTAATGGTAAGTAGTGTGAACTGGGAAATAACTCACAGGCTTCTGTCTACTGGTTGGCTCAAAACAAAGCAAAGCCTGTTAACTGGCTGTCTTAACTTGTTTTACCCCAGGTAATTTTGTAGCAGCATGTCCTTGAAGGACAACATGCAATCCCTCATAAAGCATAGTCATCTCACGGCTGAACAAATCCAGAATGACATCTTAAATAGAAAATTCGGTCTTTCTTCCCCCATCTCTTTGAAGTTTCCTTTGTATTAGCCTTTTCAGGAAGAAAATAAGAAACTTTGTTTCCATGATATCACTCAGCATATGCAGGATCTGTATTTTTGTCTAATATAGAAATGATACTTCAGGCTCACTATGGTACTATTTGTGACTCCTCATAGCCAGATTAGGGAGAAGAGGTAGGAGAATCATACAGAAGAGGGAGACATGCGCTTATCTGAAATTAAATACCGAGACACATTCACATTCGGGAAAGAGAGGAGACTATGAGGAAAGGAGCTCAAACATTTCCAAAAGAAAACTATTTCTTCTGATGGAGAATTTCTTGATCTCACCTTTGGTATTTTATTTTGCTTCTGAAAAAAGTCCTACTCTCATTCACTACCACACTCCTGCCATCAAGTATGTCAGCACTTAAAACTACAGGCTGGACTAAAAAATTTACTAAGCCTTAGTGTTCCAAGCTATTTTATATCCAGTTGCAAGATTATTTCTAGCAAAAAAAAAGAGTTAATTTTGATCATGGCATCTGTAAACAGTGTAATATCATGACATTTTAAATAGTAATAGGAATAATTTTGAAATGTATTTTTCCATTTCCAAACTCTATTTTTCCATACTGCATTTTTCAAATCATGAAAGACTTTATGCAAAGACCAACAGATTCAAGTTTACTGGTCACAAAAAAAATCCCTTAGGAATAACAGATCTTCTTCAGGGAGTATTTGTTCCTTCAAGTAGATTTAGTGCTGAGACCGTGTGGTAGTTAAAGCACAGACAGAGGCTGTTGATAAAGTGGCAATGCATAACAAAGCTGTAACGTGTTATAACGGAGCAATTGCCTGCAGTTCATCAGTATGGAGATGGCAATGAAGTTCTGCTTTACATATTCCAGGCACTAAGAATTTTGTAGCAGTGATTACTGGAGGTTCTTCTTCCCCTACAAAAGGAAAAAAAGTTAGGTTCATTAATTGAAAAATTGATTTTTGTATTTGGTCAACATTTTAGAAACAATGCAAAGAAAACTTATGAAAACCCTCTGGATCATAATGTCCTACATTCATGAGGCTCAACTACCACGCTCAGTAACTTCTTATCTAAAGAATTAATGCAAATTTTCCCCCGAGGCAGGGCTTCGTGCAGAAGACCTTATTAGTCAATGGACCTAGTACAGGTCTGGTTGTTGGCACTTCCTCAAAGTTAAACTCGTTTGAACTTCAGGTGACGATGCCCACTATGATCTCTTTGAGAATCTTTTTTTTGCAGACCCATAGTCTGCACATGAACTGCACTGAAAGATATAAAGTATTACAAATTATGTGACTTAGGATTTTAATTCAAAATCCTAAATCAAACTGTTCTTTAAAGAAGAAAGGAAAGATCTACCTTGAGATGCTGAATGACAGAGCTATTCGCTTCTGTTCTGACCAAGCAATGGACAAAAAATAGGCAGCCACAACGAAAACGGTACTGTGAATTTGGAGTAATAATTTGCACGTGTCCAACTCTTAGAACAAGAATAAAAGCTAAAAAATGCTATCTACTCCTCTCATTAGTAGACATATAAATATCAAGTCTATAAATACTTTGTAAGTCTGGGACAGCAAAAAGACTTAATGAGCTGCACTGTAACAGACAGATGAAGTTCAGTTCTAGCTACTGTCTCTTTGTGCCCTGTACCTAATTAGGACTGCGGTTTGGGTGAGGGGAGGTTTCAGTGAGAGCCAGTCAGGATGGTGCTTTCGGACAGGGACAGTGCATGGGAAAACAGTGGAAGTTATCGTGGTTTCTTAATGTGTTAAGATCCAACTCTACCAGATAGTGCTATAATGTTTCGCCTCTATAGCTGAAACGTTAAGTAGGATGTGACTTGGGAATTAATTACTAGAAAGACTGCTTCTTTTTTCCAGTGACTCCTTGGCAGCTGGGATACCCAGCTGCCAGCTCTGTGACTGAATCAGGGAGGGAATGCTGGTAAAGCATTCTTACAAGAGGCCATAAATTTTAAACTAGCATCCTACTTTCATTCAATACTAGAACCATTACAGATAAAACCTGTAATTTTTCCCACGAATGTGAGAAAAGGCTATGTTAGAAGATGGCAGAAAATTAAAGAATATAATACTAATTTTTAAACAATAACAGAGTATTTGTGGCTTATGTAATTAAATCAGTACATCTCTATTTTTTCCACTTGAAAAGTTTTCAAGTTTTAGTTATTTTGTCCTATAGACTATCTAGCCTACAGATATAGATGTTATATCTGTAACTCAACATTTATATTCTCTCCTCCCAAGATAATTCTGGCATCAAATATTAGTTATGAATTATCTAAGAATAAAAAATAATCCATTCAGCCAAGAGAAACAAACCAGCTCACTGTCTACACTCATTCATAAGAATGCACAACAGCATACCAGCCAACATCAAAATGCAATATTCACCTGTTGTAGCTACTTAAGGAAAATCTCAGCAAAGAGCTGTTTTACCCTATCACTACAATTGCTGGAACATTCCACGCTGAAGTAGTTGTGATGCAAACTCAATGCACTGTAACGAGTAAGGTCAGGCTATATTTTTATATAGCCTGAGGCAATATTTACACCTTCTAATTGTAGACGTCTAAGCTGGAGAGTGTCTTCCAAGCATTTAAATTCCTCCACTGAATCCCGTTTGTTCATTCCCCCCCAGCCCCATATCTGATGAGATGCCTAATGTCATTCTGAAACTTGAGTTAACCACAGAACAGACCAGATCCCTACAGGTTCTACAACGTGCTGGAGCAAAACAGGATGTTTTACATTTATGGCTGTTCTGTAAGTATGCTTCACCATATCACCCTCTTGATGAAACCACGCAGTTGTCAGCTGAGTATCCCAGCTGCCAAGGAGTCCCTGGAAGAAATAAGCCATCTCTCCAATAATAGGTCAATCAGTGAGAAGTGACTTATTAATAAAATTCTAGTGAAACCTTACTGTGGGAGGGGATTCTTAGCTAACCTAAGGAAAAGATTCACTTTTCTAAAGTTACTGAAACATATCTTCTCTTACCATCTTTATACAAGCTTATCTTTCTCTGCAGCCTTGTATATGGCTCCTCACATATGAAGTATTTTAGGATGGCAGAAGTATGCTCACAATAACTGAATATAATTTTCGAAACAGTGCTCTATCTTACCTAAACCTGATGATGAAGAAACACTTCCTGTAATGGAAGATGTTTCAATTTGGTCTGTCAATAGTCCTTCCATTAAAGTTAAAGATAATTCAGATGAAGGAACAGATGAATCATAGATTCCAGAATCTCGAGGCATATCTTTAAGATTTGAAGCTTTAACAACATGTAATAATGGCTGAAGAACAGAGCTGCCGCCACCTTGAATGTCCTGAGTTTCCGCATCTTCTCCAAGGTTTAAGTGCTGAATTATACAGTGAGAGTCTGAATTCCCTGCTGAAATAATATTTGTATCTGTTTTCAGGTAAAAATCGCTATCCATCACCTGCTTATTCACTAAGTCATTTAAAACCAAGCCTGAATCAAATTTTTCCATGGCAGGCTCCGAGTAATGTAAAGAAGGTGGAGGGAAGGGAACAAACTGTTTCTCAAACCAATCTGGTTCCTGATCAATGAACTGATGCATATTGCAAATAGCGACATAAAGGGACCTCCCAGATTTGCTCCTGAAATAATTCCTTTTACTAATGTTAACTGGAAACACCTCTGAATCCTGTACACTAAGATCTCTGGAGTGTAGATGTGAATACAGCTGAGGGAGATTGTCCATGAGTTTGTATTTTGTACTTAGATCCAGAATACCAGGGATGTCTCCTTCACAGGAGTAATCGAAGTAGACAGCAATGAACTTGCAGAGGTCATTTGAATTCTGCTTTGCTTGACGAAGCTTCTCTGCAACAGTCAACACAGCAAACAGAAAGAGCTCTCCTTTTCCTGCATCTTTGGTTACTCCTCTGTGTTTCCAGTTCTTTTTTTCAACGAAGTATTTCATTCCCTTAGAACACACAATGATGATAAACTGGGACTCATTTATTTTTTTAATAAGCCACTCCTTCTGGCCTTCTTTACAAATTTTTAGATCTTCCCACAAATCCAGAGCCACCTGGAAAAGGAAAGAACATTCTAGTTGATATTCATTCATTATTAGATTTTTGAGTCAGCTTGTATTTATCTGACAACTGAGAATTAATGATGAGTTTAACTATAGCTTGTCCCTGATGCAAATACATGCTGTTTCACAAGAGAAATAAGTCAGAATTAACATAGCATTGATAGTGGACAAACTGGAATCAGTGATACCATGTCAGTAGCTATGCACCAAAATAAGCAAGACCTCACATTCATTTCTGAACTTTGCTTGTGGGCTGAATATTTCACTGGGCTAAGGAAGTGGGTGAATTGCTACGGTAAAAAGGAAAACATTCCAGGATTTTTTTGTTCTTTTAAACAAGAATGTCAGTTACTATATGAACCTATTTTCCTGCTTATTTATTACCTAAAGAAAAACATACCTAATTATACCTATGTTATCTATAAATTTATGGAATCAACAAGTAACAGTGCAAAGCCAAGCAGTAGAATGTATACTGGGCAGTATATTAAAAGACAAAACCACTATGGATTTGGTACACAGCATTATTTGTCAGGCAATAAAAAGAACGTAGAAGATGTGGCTGGATTAAGTGAATTACTGTTTACTTATCTGATCAAATAAGGTATCATCAATCCACAACAATGTATTGTGCCTGCCTCAAACAATGTAACCGTTGTATATTTGGGTCCTTAATGTGCTGAATTTAATGGAAATCCATATTCATTTAACATCTTTTGCATATTAATTAAGTCTGACACCAAGAATTTTTGTATCTAGATATAAACATAATTAGTGATTAGTGCCTGTAACATCGAGTCCTTTCAGTTTCTATGCAAAATAGTAGCACCTCATCTCTGATAAGAAAGCTCTGATAATTTTATCGTAAGAGTTGTTTTACGTTGCACTCTGTCAAATCTTCTCAATATTCTACATGGTCTGAAATGCCTGTGAGCACCAAGATGAAGGACATAATGCTTTATCTCATGAAAGAATAAATGAGTGGTAGAATCCCCCTCTACCCTGCTCTTGTGAGACCCCACATGCAGTACTGCATTCAGCTCTGGGGCCCTCACAATAAGGACATGAAGCTGTTGGAGCAAGCCCACAGGAGGGTCACAAAGATGATCCAAGGGCTGGAGCACCTCTCCTATGACAACAGGCCGAGAGAGTTGGGGCTGTTCAGCCTGGAGAGAAAGAAAGCTCCAGGGAGACCTTCTAGCAGCCTTCCAGTACCTAAAGGGGGCCTACAAGAAAGCTGGAGAGGGACTTTTTACAAGGGCATGTAGTGATAGGACAAGGGGTAATGACTTTAACTGAAAGAGGCAGATATCCATTAGACAGAAAGAAGAAATTCTTCACTCTGAGAGTGGTGAGGCAGTGGAACAGGTTGCCCAGAGAGGCTGTGGTGCCCCAGCCCTGGAAGTGTTCAAGGCCAGGTTGGATGAGACTTTGAGCAACCTGATCTAGTGGAGGGTGCCCCTGCCCATGGCAGCGGGGTTGGAACTAGATGATCTTTAAGGTCCCTTCCAACCCAAACCATTCTGTGATTATATGAATAACAGAAAAAAATTGATGCAAAAAACTTTACATAATAGACACACATCAAAACCATTGATAAAGTCTTCTTCTCAAGCATTTTTCCAGAGAGCAAGGTATTTTTGCTCTGCTTTACCACCTGTAACAGAGTGGAAAACTTCACCATGTCGGAAGACAGAGAGCAGGTGGAAATCTAGAACACAAGGACTCACGAAAGCTGTTACCACACAGTCAGCGGAAGAAAGCGATCATGCCTGAAGTGGTCAGGCAGTCGGACTGGATGACCATTGCAGGTCTCTTTCAACTGAACTATTTTATTCTATGCATGGGGAAGAGAAGTCATTTTACAGCTGCTTGGGAGATACTGTGACAAAAGTATAATGCAGGTAATTTTTCTTTTGTGTCTATACTTGGTTTTGTTCTTCAAAATATTGTCTGATTTCCTATCTGTGAGAAAGGATTTCTATTATAGTCAAGTTATTATTTTAAACGACTATTAAATGTCACTGGTTTTGTCTGTGATGAGAAAATGTCCATGTCAAAAACACTTGTGCAACTGTTCCGTTATGCATTGAGCATCACTTCTTACATTAAACTCCACAGCTTTAATAATAACACATATTATTTCTCTACGTAGATGCTATCAATATTCTGTTCTATTAATCTGAAACGATGCCCGATATCACATGTTCCATGGTACGTAGTTGTAGTGGTAACAGCTCACCTTAACACTGTTCCAAAAAGGCGTGGTGTAACAGGGCTAAGCACACCTCTGAACAGGGGATTCCAGTAAATTACTTGTAAAACACCTCTCCTGAACTATTTTAAACAGGAATAAACCGTGAACATCCGCTTGTGTGACTGCGCGAGGCCACCAGAGGTCAGACTTGCTGGAGCGCTGGAAAACCCGTTTCAGCTCATAGGCTTAAAATCAGCCCGGAGTAAAACGCAGCAAGAACAGCCTAACGCGTGTCCTCCTGCCTTTTTACAGTCGAAGAGTGAAAGACTGGCCAAGTATTGATTATATTCTAGAAAGTGGCCTGAGATTCTAAGCCTAGTCGCTCAAAGTAACAATTTGAACGTCCTTCTCATAGCGTTAAATCAAAACCAAGAAAAAGACATGCTGATCTTACAGCATTAACAAGAGTAGAAAAATTTAAAATCAATAAAAATTAATACACAATGTCAACAATTAATCCTAATCACACAGATTTGGCTCTATAGGTAGGGGTTTTGATAGATTCAACTACTTTAAAATTACAATGTAAAACGTATTTTCAGAAATACTGAAGTATTTATCAGGTCGACACCAAAACTAGCTGCTGACTAGAAAGATGCCAGACATAATAAACAGAAAAAGTAGTTAAACAAGTTAAACACAGCTGAATGAAAGTCCTGGAATTAATGCAGTACACATTTTCCACTTTTCTGGTTTTTTGGTTGGTTTTTTTTTGTTTGTTTGTATTTTGTTTGTGTTTTTTTTTTTTTTTAAAGCAGGTCATCATCTGTTCCTTTCCCCAAGTAAAGAAAATTTATATAGCGGATATTTAGAAAAATAATTAAAGTTATCTCTGTGGAAAGGACAGATTGAAAGATCTCATTTTCAAGCACGTATTATTAGGAGTTTTGCGGGTGCTGCTTCAATTAAGGAAACTGCTTACAGAAGAAAAGTTGAGTTTACCTCACAGCCACAAAAGTCCTGAAGAAAATAAGCAAAGCACTGGATGACATTAATGTGTTTCTGGCAATCTTTACTGGAATAGCAGATGAACACTTTTGGCCGGGGACGAAGTCTTTCCACATGGAGACCTGCAGCATATGCTGAAGATTCAGAGCTCTCCTCATCTAGATGGGAATATATATTTTCTAAATTGGAAGAGAGAAAGAGAGTTCACACTTCAAAGCTTGATGTTTTGATTTTTTAAAACTTTCGTAAGTTAATTACTAATGCATACAATAACGACTTTTTTCAAAAGATATTTCTTTCCTTTCCAGCCTGAAAAAGAAAAGTTGCACATGCTCTATTTATCCAGTTTATGAGTTGCTACATATGTGGAACACACTTTGGAAGTGAAATGTGCAATTATTACTGTAAAACTCAGAAAACTTAAGAAAGGTTTATTTTATAAATAGAACGAGGTTGTTTCACCTCTATCCAGCTTCAACAGTCTTCAACTTGCTGTTCAAATATTATAAGCATTAAAGATGTAGCATCATAAAGAGTTTCCTGGATAAAAAAGTCTTGTTTTTAAAAAAAAACATGACACAAGCCAGATAAGAACACTAAACTCCAGGAACACAGATTCCTTCAGAATATCACACAGTAACTCTCTGGTATACACACGCATGCACGTTTGGACATTAATTTGAATTAATTTGAATTAAGATATGATTAATTTAAATAAAAATAGCTATTAGTGTTTCTTTCCTTGTACAGATGCTTTTATGCTGGAACATAAAAGTCTGGTTTTATGCCAGACTAATTGAATCTAGTTCTACAGTTGATGAAGCTAATTTGGAATAAAGCATGAGTGTTTCAAAATACAAACATCCATCTAGGGATTTAATTTAGAACAAATCATTAGGAACAACCATTCTGGAATAACTCTCTCTGCAGACAAATCCTTAGTGGTTTGTCTGGTTTTTTTGATGGAACTCTGCTAGCTGTGAGCAAAGGGATAGCTACGGAAGACCAGAAGGTAAAAAGATTTAACCCGGATGGCATATAGCACTTGCAGCATAACTCAATGCCAAAATTCAGATGGATAACACAGATATGTGAGGTTTGTGGAAGTAATCTCTTTTTCCATATTCGTGAAACTGCATGACTCCCTAGATTCTACAAAAAATGCAAATTGATTTTTAACATGAAGACAGGCTGAGAGAACTAGGGTTGTTCTGTCTGGAGAAGAGAAGGCTCCGGCGAGACCTTCTAGCAGCCTTCCAGTACTTAAAGGGGCTATAAGAGAGCTGGAGAGGGACTTTTTACAATGATGTATAGTGATAGGGCAATGGATTTAAACTGAAAGAGGGTAGATTTAGATTAGATAGAAGGAAGAAATTCTTCACTCTGAGAGTGGTGAGGAACAGATTGCCCAGAGAGGTTGTGGATGCCCCATCCCTGGAAGCGTTCAAGGCCAGGTCAGATGAGGCTTTGAACAATCTGATCTAACGAAAGGTGTCCCTGCCCATGGCAGGGGGGTTGGAACGAGATGATCCTTAAGGTCCTTTCCAACCCAAACCACTCTATGATTCTACAATTCTGTGAAAAAACTTCTCAATGTAACAAGTGAGGCTTGCCAGGTCCTGGACACAGCGGAGAGAGAGGTCAGCAAAAAGGGATGCAATCTAATTTAGAGGAACCTCTGTAATTAAAGTAAATTTAGGAAGATGGCTTAGGATGAAGTGTAAAGGCTACTGCCAGGAAAGTAAGCAAATCTGGAATAATAGATACAGGTAAGTATTCCAGACAGTGCTGAGAATTGTATTGGTATCACATGGCTTTACTTCTTGTTTAAAATAAATATGAGTTAGACATTTCTGAATGGAATAAGGGAATGTTTAAAATATATCAATTTTCAGATCTGTTTGTATTCTACATGGTCATGTAGTACTTTCACAAACAAAAAGAAACTCGAAACCAAAAATATTTCCCAACAATCAAGTCTTGATTTGCGATACAATAATTTCTATGGCAAAAAATTACCATCAAGCACTGATTTAGAATTTGCTACAAGTTTCAACACACAAAAAAGCTGCAGGGAGGCAGGAGAGAGAGGCAGAAAAGAAAGCTCTTCAGATGAAGGTATTTCTAGAATGAAGCCACCAGTTAAGACTTTTTGGCTGCAGAGGTGCGTCTTTAAATGAGCTCTGTACTGAATAAAGCCTCTTACCTTGCTGTTTCTTGCGGCACATCACTGTGAAAAGTGTTGCAAAGGCTGAAATGACAACTAAAGGGACTGTAATGGCAATAGCTCTTATCGGTCCGGCCCACGGAGAATGTACTTTGAAAAATAAAGTAGAATTAGCCATATGCAAATAAGCTATGTTATAATTATCTCATCAAATCTTCACACTGGGAATGTAAAACTGCTGCAGTACACTATTATCAGGTAATTCTCAAACATACAGTATAATCGAACATCGTGTTCCATTTTAAATAGGTTTTATGCTGATTGCCCCCTCACCACAGCGTTCGAGGGACTAACACAAGTACCAAGTGCTGTATGCCAGCTCACGCCTCCCCTGATGAAAAGAGCTTTGCATGAAGCGTAGTTTCGATAAGATACGCAATAGTCACTTGGACCTGACAGACTTTTGTCCCAGGGTGCTGAACTAGCCACGTCTTCCTGCACAGATTGCCTTTAGCAACATGCATTAGGAACCAGTCGATTTCGCCCACTGCCTTCATCTGCAGCTGTTTTGTGTCTGCAGTTACATTCTGAAATCCCTCTTTAGCTTCTCAATAACTGGTCTGATACACAGACATGCTAAACATTCACCTGGCAGGTTTTCCAGGCTACCTGATTTCATTTCAGGGCTGAAGTACACGGGCAGGTAACACATTTACGCTGCTCTCACAGTTTCATCACATCATTTCCACACTACTGCAGGCACCAGTTGCACGCAATTGAGATACGGGCTACGACTCTTCATACCCATGTATTCAATGAAAGTGACTTTCCCACAAAGATTTCCAATGATATATTGATCTAAACTGTAATAAATATAAATGTACAGAGATGCAGAGGTACAAGTACAAGTGTGCAGGTCTACACCTTTTTCATTAGGTTGAAACATCACAGCACAACTGCCTCCGTAGTCTTGACTACGGCAAATAGACATAGGATCGAGCAAGATTTATTTTCAACATAATTAAAACTGAATTTAAATAAAGTAAATACCACATAGTGTTTAAAAAACAAAATACACCATACCTGGTTTTAGCGCATAGTGCATTGTTTTCCTTGTTGTATTAGTGTCATCAACCAGCTTTGAAAAGTAAAAGTTGAATTTTATTTTGTGAAAAAATAATTTTCTTTAATGCAGTATGTAAACAACTATAACAACTATAAGCTTTCATATGACCAAATATGAAGAAACTCTGTTCAAAAAGCTAAAAGTTAAGAGCACCACAAACTAGTAATTAGTGAAATTATTTGTCTCCATCGGTACATAGTTTAATGTTGTAACACGAACTTTCAGAGTTCACATACTGTTGTCTTCAAGAGAAATACCTACATTTTAAGTACAGTAAAAAGTGACCAAACTACAAAATTCCAGTTTAAAAAATAAAAAAAATGAAGTCCGAGAACTATGCAGGTCCACAACTTTAGTTGAAGGCACAGATGAAACTGCTATACATTTAGGGAAGCAGAGCTATGGAAAGGTCGAGAATAATCTATTTAAAAACTTTTACTTGCCCAAGACAACTCAGTAGGGCTGCCTGAAGTCCAATTTTGCCAAAAAGTGACTTGAAATACTTTAATTTCAGTTAATTCCTCCATTAACATAGTTATTTAGCTGCTGTACAAATGAAGTTAGGAGGGGGAACACTAAAACGGCCAAGCTGGACTTTGGGAGAGCTGACTTTGGGCTGTTTAGAAGTCTGATTAACAAAGTCCAATGGGAGACAGCTCTCAAGGGTAAGGGGGCGCAGGAGGGTTGGTTACTATTCAAAAAGGAAATTCTGGAGGCACAGGAGCGAGCTGTCCCTGTGTGCCGGAACTCGAGCCGCCGGGGTAGAAAACCAGCTTGGATGACAAAGGAGATTTGGGAACATCTCAAAAGAAAAAGGGATGTCTATAAGTCTTGGAAGAATGGGCAGACATCTAGGAATCAATACAGGGAGGAAGTTAG